GGGGGGGGGGGGGGGCGGCGAGGAGACGGTGTTCGTGGGGGGACGGCGAGGAGATTGGTTCACGGGCGCGACGGCATTAGACCAGCGTATAATATCCCGGGGAACGTCGTTCGCCTCGTCGCCGTTCGAAGTGGGGTCGAAATTGAATATTTCGCCGTAGCTCGCGCGCTTTCGCCCGTATTCCGTTTATTTATTTCGCTTTACCGTAATGGCGCGCGCACGGCCCCGTTCGGCTGGAGTCGCTTGTCTCGCGGTTTTATACGCTTGGCGCCGGCACACACCGTACACCGCACGTGTGCGTACAATTACAACCAGGACCCGACACGGATAAATGCGTTCACTATGCCGTAACGGTAACGGCTCCGGGAAAGAAAAACAATAAACGCGATCTGGTCGGACGACGGGGAACACCACAGCCGAGCGCGAATAGCAAGGCCGGGGGGAATCGCTACTTTGCCGCCCAAAAAAAACGGGCATTTCGGAAACTTCGCGCGGAGCGCACGCCTTTGGTCGGCCGATTTTTTCGAACGCATAACAGACACCGCACGGAACACCAATGACCGCAGCGCAAGCCGCGAGCAGACGCGAACCGCGGTTTTCGCGTAAACGCCGAAATACGGTCGACGCCGCGTGTCCCGGGATCCCCGCGTAAGACCGGAGAATCGCCCGTGGTCGGGAACGGGCGGTTCCATCCGAAAATATCGTCGCGACAATCGATATTACGGTCGGACGGGGCGAACGGAATTGAGCGCCGGTTCGGAGACGGTGATATTGATTACGCCTTATCGATGGGCGGCGATAACGCGACCTAACCGCATAGAGCCGACGCGCGGTGACGGAATACCCGGTTTCGAGCGTTCTGAATCATAGACCGTAACGCGGGCAGTGTGGGGCGGACTGGTAGCGCGCGGCCGATTTGCCGACGTCGCGTGTGCCGGTCCCTGAAAAACGTCCGGTTTCTCCGATTAGTTTCATCGTTTTCGAAACGCGCGGCACCGTTACCGGCGCGCTGCCGCGGGTCGGCGGCGCGCGCGAACGATTTTTACCGCGCCGCCCCGCCGCGCGTGGGGGTGGGGGTGGCGGGGTGGGCAGTAGACGTCGCGAGAAAACGTATACGCGCGGACGAATTGTTATTATTATTATTATTATTATTATTTCGTAGGTAAACACAATTATTACCGCTTATGTAAGGGTCCGCCCGTGGTAGCCATGGCGACGTTATCGTTTGTTTACACAGTCCCTATTGTTTTTCCCGCGAGGTCTCTCGCCGCCTCCCGCCGCCGTTAAGGCCGTCCTCCTGTCCCGCGCCCGACCGGATTTCCCGGGTAAAACCGTCACCGTCGCCGCCTCTCGCCCGGGGCCGCGGGGCGAATGGAGTTTAAGTAGCGCGCGACGTTTCCGAGAAAGCCCCCCGTGCATTTATCGCCCGGAAAATATCAGACGTAATTCAGACGCAACGTTCGAAATCGTAACGACGACGGCCCCTCACCGGGAAAATTCGAAAACCGGACGTACACAAAGTTGCCGGCGAAAATGATTTTCAATATTTTCCGTTTGGGGCGTATGAACCCGTCTCGTTGTTATTGTTGCGTGGTCGTAGTCGAAGCGTACAAGCATGACGATATTTTAACGATTACATTATACGCTTCGCATTGGTTCGTCCCGGTCGTCCGCCACGGAACAGAAACACGACCGTTACGAATAACGGACGATCGAAAAATACACACGATGTTAAAAATAAACAACTCGCGGAAAATATTTCGGTCCGACAAAGTGTGCCGGCGATAGCGGCGGAAAGGCGGAGAAGAAGGAAGTATGCGGACCTATAGAGGCGCTGTTTCACGGTACTGGCGTATCGCGGGTAGGCGTAAGAAGGAAGAGGGGGTCGTGAACGGACGGGACGTGCTCGTAGGAGTCGGAATGAGTTAATAAAAGAAGCGACGGAGCGAATTCCGCGTGGAGAAAAACTGAAGGAAGGCCCGGCACGAGACGGGACCACGTAATAACGATAATGACGGGGAAATTGTTTGGCGGAGGATCGAACGGAGAAGAAGAAAAATATCAATGGAATGCTAATGACGGACGAGGTGATGGTTAATTGGGACATTGAACCCGCGGAGAAAAACGACGAGTGTCGATAATTCTTTTCGAATTTTTTTCAAAATTAAGTGAAACGGTGTATAGGTAACGAGAAAAAAAAAACACCAATTATAATTATAATAGTTAAATTAACGATTTAATAATTTAATAGCTTCGAATATATTATTCAATTGGATTTTTCTACGAATATAATGTATTTATACATAGATACCGTAAATGCGAATTGTCTATTTAAGAATAAATATCAAATTACATTTAATGTACGCCGGAAGTGTGTTTCGCGAGTATGTTGTTTCTCCCCACCCCCTCCCCGTTCTTTTATCCCCTTAGATTATTGTTTTTTTTTTTTCTCGATAGTATAGGTAGAGGTTTACACTGCAGTTACGTTTACGCCGTCTGCGCCGTCATACATAATTTATAACTCGTGTATGCATATAATATTGCGTATAAATTAAGTTAACGACGGCGACAACGGCGCCTGCTCTACATAATCGCCGTGCAGTTATATGCCGGGCGTCAGCGACGGTGTATACGAGCCGCTTAACTTTCAGATACGGTTTTACGTACAGGACGAAAATCCTCCGCCGTCTTAACAACATCCTCGCCGTACTCACATTATTATTGTACACACTGCGGCGCGGCCGACGATAAGTAAAAAAAAAAAAAAAAAAAACTTTTTTCCGTCATTTACCGCGACAATAACTTTTACTTGTATTGTTATCGCTTAAAAATGTAACCATTACGAGCGTATAGTACAAACGTATTCCGCGTATACGCATAATAATACAGTGCGTGTATTGTGTACGGCGAAAAAAAAAAATAAATACATTATTATTGTGTACTCGCGTGTGTAAATATATTATGAAGTATTTGTAAGTTTCACACGCGCATTTAAATGGAAACGTTTACGCGTAACGTCGTACGCGATGATATCGCGAGCTCAGACGTAGTACACGAAAAACCGTTTTGCGCGGAGAACGTTCCGCGTTTATTGCAGTAGTTACCGACATTCTATAACATAGAGAAACCATATCCGTGTTATAACGAGCTAATATTATTGTTATTATTATTATTATAATTTTTTTTTTTTTAGGGCAACATAAGTTCAATTGAAGTTACCGGTTTGTAAGCTCCGGTATTTTCTGGGGGATATTTTCGTTATCTCGTCGAAAGTTCAAGTTGGTCGGACAGACCGAAGAACAGACGGCAGGCGTACTAAAGCGACAAAAACGAAACCAGAAAAATACGCGGTGCGATTAATGAGAAGATAGTCTGATTGAAGAAACCTTTTCTGTACATCGAAATAGAATGAATGGTAAGTGAGGCCGGAAAGAACACCGTGTATCGCAAATGTTTTATATACAGATTTCTTGGATGCTGGACTGACAGACTGCAGAAAAGTGAAGGGAATAGATGTTGCAGATATCACCGGTTCTATATATAGGTAAAATTATAGAGAATATCGAAAAATACAAAACTGTATTACAAACCTTTGGGTTAAAAAATACCGGACAAAAAAAAAAAAAAACGTTCTATCGAAATAATGAACACGGTATGACGCGGATTATTTTTAATGTGTTTGCGGGAAATCTTGATGACTCTACCACATTACCGTGGAAAGAATTTGGTTGTCCCGCGCTAAACCGTTTTTCACGAAAAGTTTTTAATCGAATTACGGACGACGGTTCGAGTGCTCTTATAACGGAGTGCGCAAAAAAAAAAAAAATAAAAACTCCGCGTATCGAAATTTTCGAATTTTCGATTCCGCAGCAGGTATATTCATTAATATTATGTTGTTTATCTGTTCTTCGCTCTTGCGGTTTATATATTTTCTCCACCGCCCCGTGCCGTTTATCGCCGAGAGAAAACTTACAAACCGCGCGCAGCCTCGAGTCATCGGGGGCGAACTTCCGAATATATACTTCCGCGCACGGTCGTTGAATATACGGAAACATATTGTGCGCGACCCTCCGAAATCGTCGTCGCCACGCTTTCTCCTCCCCTCATTGTCAATAAGTTCTTTATAACGTAACATAAATAATTATTATCGTTGCGGCTGCGGGCGTCTGGATTTTCGCGTTTTCCCCCCTGCGTTCGAATACATTTGCCGAGCAATACGTTGCTTTAATGCATTATCATCACTTCGGG